GATACAGACAGTCTACACTAAAAGTATACTTTTGATGGGAGAATATGTCTGTGATTTCTCCAATTATATAAATATAAGTTTATTTGTCCTCTGTGTAGATAAATTCCCTTAATTTTGTTTGTATGCTTAATTGTTTCTTTAATAAATGTGTGTGCCTATGACTATCACATGCTCAGATAAAGCTCTAGAAGATGGCAGTGTGCCAAATGTTAATAGCAATTATCCATATGGAGAGTGATTTCATCTACACTTTTAACAAATGAACATTATTAAGTCACAAGAAGGAACAGAGTTCTCTTTTATTTTAAACTATTAGTTAAATGCCTACTGAAAAAAAATATGGCTACTAAAATTATAAAGGTAGCTTTCATTTGATCATACTTTTTGACTTCAAGACAAAAAATAAAATAAGTTTTTCATGCAATGTCAGTCTTTACTTGAGCATGAAGAAAGGGTAGAGAGAAAAAGTATAAATTATGTTGTGACTTTACTGTCCTTTATCAGACATGATGACAAAAAAGTGTTTATCCTAACATAGCAGTTACTATGGGCCAGATACTGATCTAAGCACTTAGCACAATAAATAACTCACTTGATGATACTAACAATATTTTGAGGTAGATACTTTATATCTACATTTTACAGAAAACAGAGCCTCAGGGAGGTTAAATAATTTGCTCAATTATAATTTAATTTGCTCAAAAATAATTTACCTGGTAAGTGGTAGAGCAGATTTTGACCCCAGTTAACAGTATGGCTCCAGCTTCTGTACTGTTACAAGCACACAGATGAAATTGTTGTCTTTATTAGTTAAGTCAGCTGCTTTCAATGGCATTATGAAGAGAAAATATAACATAGATTGTTTGAAGACTAAATACCTAAGTTTTGTATTTAATGAAATTACTTATTTATTCATGAATTTTATTTAAGATAATATTAATCCTTACTATTGACTCTGGTTCAAAACAGTTAAGAATGGAATCTAACCAAAAGTGCATGCTTCAAACCATATATTACTACCTTGGCCAGTCTCCAACAATTTACAGTATTAAAACACATGAATAAGTATAGCAACAGCAGGGCTAACCTCATAGACACTATGGGCCAGATGAAAAATAATCATAAGTCGTAAAGCTTAATCAAGAAGAGGGAGCATAAGGAAATTGCCTATTAAGTACCTCTTAAAATGATAGTCATTGTGTCCTATATTTTGCACATTATTTCATTTAATCCTTAGAATAACACAGTGAATCAAGTGTTATTATTCCATTTTAAAACAACAATGAGATTCATTAAAACATAAGACATTTATAGTGTCCTAGCAGAATGGTCAAAATCCAAGTCACTGATTACTCCAAATTTTGGCAATGATGTGGACCAACAGGAACTCTCTTTCATTGCTGGTGGAAACACAATGATGTAGACTCGTTGGAAGACAGTTTCTTATAAAAATGTTGTTACTACATGTGATCCAGCAATTGAATTCCTGGTGTTTGTCCAAATGAATTAGAAATTTATATCCACATGTCTCTGCACATGGTACTTTTAGCAGCATTATTCATAATAGCCAAAACTTGGTAGCAGCCAAGATGTCTTTTGGTAGATGGATAAATGAACTGTGGCATATCCAGGAAAGAAAGATTATTCGTCATTAAAAAATAAATGAGTTATCAAGTCATGAAAAAAACATGACTTAAGTGCATATTATGTAATAAAAGAAGTAACTAACTGATAAGGTTATATATACACAGAATTTCAACCATATGACATTCTGGAAAAGGCAAAAGAATGGAGACACTAAAAAGATTAGTGCTCACCAAGGATAAGGGAGAGTAAGGGATGAATAGATGAAATACAAAGAATACTTAGGGTGGTAAAATTATTATTCTGTGTGGTACAATGGTGACTATAGTCATTTTACATTTATCCAAACCTATATAATTTCTTGCACCAAGATTGAGCCCTAAACTTGGGGTAAAAATGTTTTATGGGGCCCTTCCTGGTGGCGCAGTGGGTTAAAGCACAGCACTGAGAATCTAAAGCCGCTTCCTCATGAGTTTGATTCCCGCCTGCCCCGGAGGTGACCACATGGCCTGGCAGACCTCTCCTGACCCGCCCGCTGCTCCCCTCAGCAGTGTATTTCGTTGATCTGCCTGTTCTGCACTCCACTCTGTCTCTGGTGAATTCTCTCACCCTCCACATCTCTGGCCTGTATCCCAGTTCTGTATGCACAAATAAAATAAAATCTAAAAAAAAGTTTTATGGTCACTGAACATTGATGATATCAGATGTAGTGCTCTGGTGAGGGCGATGATAGTGGTGAAGCTTGTGCATATATGGAAACAGGGTATCCAGTACTTTCCACTCAACTTTGCTATGAATATAACCGAGCTTAAAAGATAGTCTACCTAGAAAAAGCAACCCCTCCCAAAAGAACATACACTTCCATGCAAAAAAAATAATTCAAGTCTGAAAACTTGCAATGCCTTACTCTAGTTATTACCATGCTTTCTACAGTTGGTAAGGTATCTAAATTCTCTTAAAGTATGTAACTGGGTTAAAATTAACATTTTGAATCTTCATGCGATTTTTTTCTTTTTTCCTTTTTTTTTTCCTGCAGATGATTATTGCCATAATCATGGAACAGAGAAGCAAAATTGCTATCTTAAAAATACATAAATAAGACTTAATGTAGCTGCTTTTTTATTCTTTGGAAATTGTTTTGTATTTAGATAGCCCCTTTGATGAGCCTTTTCATTACACAGAAAATGTCTATGTTAATCAGGATAAAAAAGGTTATGATTTTAAAGGAATAAACAATTCTGTTTGATAAAATAAGAGGAGTTTTTAGTATGTTATTAGAAGTACAAAAGTCAAAAGTTTGGGGTTATGAGCTTAATGAAAGACATATAAGGAAAGCTTCCTTAAAGGAGCAGCAGTTCTGGAAAAATGTAACAGGTCTAGAGAGAGAAAGAGAAATAATAACCATAATGGACCCACTGAAGATAGGGAAAATTAGAAACATTAGAAACAGTTGCCTGATACAAGCTAGTACCAGTTGTCTCTTGGATAATCAATTTTAAGCTGATTACTATCTTTTTTTTTTTTTTAAGATTTACTTATTTGTACATACAGAACTGGGGTACAGGCCAGAGGCTCAGGAGTGGTGAGAGGCTTCACCAGAGACAGAGTGGGGAGCAGAACAGGCAGATCGACGAAGTACACTGCCGAGGGGAGCAGTGGGTAGGTCAGGAGAGGTCTGCCACGCCATGTGGTCACCTCCAAGGTAGGCGGGAATCGAACTCATGCAGAAGTGGCTTTAGCTTCTCAGTGCAGTGCTTTAACCCGCTGTGCTGCCAGGGAGGGCCGAACAGTTTACTATCTTAAATGTTAATTCTCCTTTGTTATGCTGGAAACATCAGTAAAGATTCTTACATTGGACAATATTACACAAGTATGTGAAGGTGGGGTGAGGGAAGAACCACACATGGGGTGGTCCTGGCACACAGAATACATCAGAAGGACAGCAACTGGTAGTAGTCAAATCAAAAGGACTGAAAGCAGAGGCAGTTTGGAAAAAGTATAGCAGCTTGGAGAGAGAGGTGACAAAATGCAAAAGAATATATGACTGGAATCATCTTTATTGTGTCTCTATTTTATGACACTTCCTCCGGGAGGCCTTTTTTGATTCCTTCTCTGATGAAAAGTAGATCAATATAAGTCAAAATTCATTACCCTACTTGTTTGTCTGCTTTTTGTATCACTTATTAGTCTTCATTTCTCTATTATATATGTCTTCTTCAGCTGACATTGGACAATGTCTGGAGACATCTTTGGTTGTTACAACTGGAGTATATTCTACTGATACCCAGTGGGGAGAGGTCAGAAATGCTGCTCAACATCATAGAGTACTAGGACAGCCCCCAAGAGAAAGTACCTGACACCAAATGTCAATAATGCTGAGTTAAAACTGCATTATAAGGAAAATTCTTAGAGAAAAGGTTATTTTGTGCCTTGTGTATCTGCTACTTATACAGGACTTGGTACATAGTATGTACAGGTTAGTTTAAAAGTTGATCACTTAACTCCTTTTTCCAGCTTGTAATGAGAACCAGTTTCTCCTGGCCACATATTTACTCCCCACTTGTATGTGTGTCTGTCTCTCCAGTTTGGATCAGAGTAGTAATATAAAATATGTGAAGAGTCTGCTTTCCTATGCAGACAAACTAGACTTCCTTCCACAGCATTTAATACTGAAATTTCTGCCCACTTAATTAGATAGTTATAAGTATGGGGGTAGGTCAATGAGAACTATTCCACCTATTTGAGTTGGGGGTTTGCAAAGAGAGTTCTAGTCACTTTATACTCAACATTGGGATAGAAGGAATGCATGACAAGGATGCTGACAACTAATCAAAACTGTGCCTGCAATCTAGGTGAAGAGCTGCACCAAACCTGCAACTACACCAACTCCCACCCCCCACAGCTCTAACCATCCAGCATCTGGTCATAAGCCAAGGTTATATTTCCTTACTAGCATCACATCACTCTTCTAAGAATATCTCTACTTTGGACTGATTTTTTTTTTCTGACATTATTTGCAATCTAGCATAATTCAATGCTATCACACCTCTCCAACTTTCAAGAAAATTTCAATTAACATTTCAGAATTATAAAGAAATGTGTCTAAAATTGGTGACCTGGAAGGAAGTGAGAAAGAGAATTCAACAATAGAATAGAGTCATTTTGAAAACCTCCTGCAAGTATTCTTCCATTTATACAGTCAAGATAATACACGAATATACAAGATTATATTTATACAACAAGAAATTAAAATCTTTGTTTTTATATAGCTTATATTGGAAAACAGTATGGTGGTTTGGAGCAAATACCAAAGAATTTGATTGTCATAACTAAGAAGCTATACTAGGAAATAGTCCCCATAACAACCAAACTTTATTAGCTAACGTCAAGACTTCTTCAATACATCTTCGAGTTACCTGTTTTTCTTGTTGGTCCCACTGACATATCTGCAGAACCTGACCCAATTCTTGCTGCTGTTGTTTCAGGTACTTGTCTAGCTGTCGTCTCCTATCTTGTAGAACTTCAAGAAGGCTGTCAATCTTTAAGCAGCTGTTATGAGCCCCCTGAATCAAATCAGGATTTACATTAGGTCCGTCACACTTGAATTTTTCTATGAACTCAGTGAGTTGTTGACTTTTGTTTAAAAGGGCTAGTGATCGTTCTAAGAGTTCTAGAAGCAAAGAGAAAAAAAAAGTAATATGAGCACATTTTTTATAGTAATATTCAGGCATTCAAATCAGCTAATCTTAATCATATCTCACTGAAATAGTTGGTTAACAAATTCCATGAACTACTGTTTTATAAAAAGGAAGATGCATCACATACTGTATATGTAAACTGGAAACCAAATATCTTTTCCAGAGTTCCCTCAAATTCCTGTGCTTCAGGGAACACAAACATGTAGAGATGAACATGCCATCAGGATGGAAAAATATTTTGTCATCAGAAAAATAAATGATGTTTGCTATCTTCAGCTAGTATTTGTATATGTATCTTCAGACTAAGATGTGTCCTGTGCCTACTAATGGCTGTACCTTGAGAGGTGTGACATTGGTCCCACTGTGAGCTGCATGCCAGGGCACTATAGCCAGATATCCACAAATAAAACTGTGTGTCCCATGCAAGCTGGCTCTCCATGCCAAAGATTTTAATAGTTGAAGGAAACAACAAAACAGCATTCTAGCTACAACTCCCCAAATGGTTTTTATGTAAGTCATTTTACAAAGTGCCATCCCCAAATATTTGGGGAAGTCTATACTTTCTCAATTCCCTCCAAACCCCCAAGGCAATGTTTTTCATTTAATTGCTTCAGTATTAAATCTTTTCAACAAGAATATCAATCACTGTCAGGTCTCAAAGATAAATTTCTAATCTGTTATCTAGGGTCCTTTGAAGGGTAAGAACACCCCTGCCTGATGACATGATAAAATTCATAGAGTTAGGAGTCCAGTGACAAGTGAGTTAAGGAAGACATCCCACTCATAACCAGTTCTGTTTGGCTGTAATAATCAGCAGAATGCATTAAGAAGAAGATAATTTGATCTCACCTACTTACTTATCTAACCTGTTCCCACACACAAAAAAAAATCACTAAACAGTTGTACTTTTACAAATGTCTTCTCTGTCACCATTCTGCTCATGCCTAATTCTAGTAGAAAAAGTCCAGCAAGCAAATTATTGGTTAATAACCAGACTATCTTAATCTGATCAGAGAGAGCTGAAAAGTATTTTACATAGGGTTTTTTTAGATATTCATATGGGGATAGTTTACTAGTCCTTTTTAAAACTGCCAATAGTTGAAAGATATTTTCCTTACACAGAGCTTTCCTTTACTGACCCTTAAAAGAAGCATGCACTAAATACAACTATTTATCCAGACAAGTAAGATTTCTTGAGAATTCACTATAAGCAGGCACCTTGCTAGATGCTGAGGATACAAGAGTAAAAGAAATCCTCCTATCCTCAGCAACTAAAGTCTGACTTTCCTAAATCTCATCCTCTATCATCCTCTTAAATTATTTACAACTAAATTTTGTAAACAAAAATAAAATCTTTATTTGGAGAAAATTGATATGTACATAAACAGATAAATTAAAAAATACATAGTCAAACATGAATACTTTTATATTAACATTACTTTAAAAGATTATGTTAGGCCACTGTCAAAAGAAATACAAGAAGACACCATGAAATGGAAAGACATCCCCTGCTCATGGATTGGGAGAATTAACATCATCAAAATGGCCATCCTGCCAAAAGCA